AAACTGATAGATGGGAGGGAGAGAAAATAAATGCTTGCTAACTGAAAAACAAAAGATAAAAACAAGCAGAATAAATCAATTCATTCCCACATGACAGACCTTCAAATACCTTAGGCAACTACCATGTCCTCTCTTAAGTTTTCTTTTACCTCATATGATATGGTTCTGAATATATCCCTTGTGAATTTCTTCTTTTTAGATTTGGTCCTGTAGTTTAGTCTGTTGAGATAATTTTGAGGTTTTTTCATCCAATATTTTAGCTATCATCCTCAATTTTGTGCCATTCTGAAATTTTAATTATTATTTTTATTTACTTCATTAAATATTTCCTAATTACATATAAAAATTAACAATCTTTTTTTTTCCTTTGGGCTATAGGCTTTATTTTTCAAATAATATTTTTTCCCAGTTACATGTAAAGACAATTTTTAACTTTACTTTTAAAAATGTTTGAGTTCCAAACCTTCTCTCCCTCCCTTACCTCCCCCCTTCCTGAGACAGCACACAATTTGATATAGGTTATATCTCTAACAATCATTTTGAAAATTTTTAAATTCTAAATACTCTCCTTCTTGGCCCTCCCCCCTTCTTGAGAAGGCAATTAGATATTAATTATATATATAAGGTCATTCAAAACATAATTTCCATAAATACTAGCCATGCTGCAAAAGAAAACATAAACAAAAAAAAACCAATAAAAATAAAGTTTAAAAAAGTATGCTTCAATCTGCATTCAAAGTTCATCAGTTCTCTCTCTGGAGACAGACAGCGTTTTTCATCTTGGGTCCTTTAGAATAGTCTTGATTAAGTCTTTCATAGTTGATCATCCTCACAATGTTGCAGTTATCGTGTACAATCTTCTCTTGATTCTGTTCACTTCATTCTGCATGAGTTCAAGTCTTTCCAGGTTTTTCCGAAACTATCCTGCTTGTCATTTCTTACAGCACAATAGTATTCTATCACAATCATATACCACAACTTGTTCACTCATTCTCCAATTGATGGGCATCCCCTCATTTTCCAATTCTTAGCCACTACAAAGAGCTGCTATAAATATTTTTGTACAAATAGGTCCTTGTCCATTTTCTTTGATCTCTTTGGGATACAGACCTAGTAGTGCTATTGCTAGGTATAAAGATATGTACAGTTTTATAGCCCTTTGGGCATAATTTCAAATTGTTCTCCTGAATGGTTAGATCAGTTCACAATTTTACCAACAGTGCATTAGTATCCCAATTTTTCCACATTGCCTGCAGCACCTGGAATTTTCCTTTTCTGTCATGTTAGCCAATCTGATAGATGTGAGGTGATATCTCAGAGTTCTTTTAATTTGCATTTCTCTAATCGGTAGTAACGTTTAGTATGTTTTTTCATGTGACTATTGATTGCTTTGATTTCTTCTTCTGAAAACTGCTTGGCCATATTCTGTGACCATTCATCAGCTGAGGAATTGCTCTTATTTTTATAAATTTGGCTCAGTTCCCTATATATTTGAATAATGAAGCCTTTATCAGAGAAACTTAATATTTTCTCAGTTTCCTGTTTTCCTTCTAATTTTGGTTGCACTGGTTTTGTTTGTGCAAAACCTTTTTAATTTCATATAATCAAAATCCTGCAATCCTCTCTATCTCTTGTTTGGTCATAAATTCTTCCCTTATCCATGGATCGAACAGGCAAATTTTTCCATCCTCCCCTAATTTACCTATTATCACCCTTTATGTCTAAATCACTTACCCTTTTTGATCCTATCTTGGTATGTGGTATGAGATGTTGGTCTATGCCTAATTTCTGCCAAACTGCTTTCCTGATTTTCCAGCAATTTTTGTCAAATGTTGAGTTCTTCTCCCAAAAACTTTGGGTTTATCAAATGCTAGATTACTATGGACATTTACTACTGTGTATTGTCTACCTAATCTATTCCACCGATTTACCACTCTACTTAGCCAGTATGAGATTGTTTTGATGATTACTACTTTGTGATATTGTTTGAAATCTGGGAACTACTAGGCTGCCTTTCTTCACATTTTTTTTCCATTTATTCTGTTGATATTCTTGATCTTTTGTTCTTCTAGATGAATTGTTACTATTTTTTTCTAGCTCTAGAAAATAATTCTTTGGTAGTTTGATTGGTGAAGCACTGAATAAGCAAATTAGCTTAGGTAGAATAGTCATTTTTATCATATTGGCTCAGACTACCCATGAGCAATTAATATATCTCTAATTGTTTAGACCTATCTTCATTTCTGTGAAAAGTGTTTTGCAATTGCATTCACATAATCCCTGGGCTTGTCTTGGCAGGTAGACTCCCAAGTATTTATACTGTCTGTTATTTTAAATGTAATTTTCTTCATCTCTTCCTGCTTGTAGAACATAGAAATGCTGATGATTTATGTGGGTTTATTTTATGTCCTTCAACTGTTGAAGTTGTTAATTTTTACTAGTTTTTTTTAAGTTGATTCTCTAGGGTTTTTTAAGTATGCCATCACATCATTTGCAAAGAATGATAGTTTTGTTTCCTCATTGCCTGTTTTTATTCTTTCAATTTCTTTTTCTTGTCTTATTATTATAGCTAGCATTTCTAATGCAATACTGAATAAAAATAGTGATAATGGACAACTGTGCTTCACTCCTGATCTTATTAAGAAAGCTACCACCTCAAATTTGATAAGCATATTATCTATTTCAGTAAGCCTTTCATAAAAACATGAACAAGACTAGTCTAAAGACAGAACCATACAGGATGCCCCATGAGACCTCCTACCATGTTGACATTTATCCAGTAGCCTTACAGTAGCATCATTCAACCAGGTGACAATTCCTACTTCTCTAGCAACTCCAACTTTATAAAATGACTGAACATTACTCAAGCTTACACCTTCTCAAGCAGAAAGATCAGTTGAATAGGGAAGAATTAAGAATATTTATTAAGTTATTACTGTATTAAGGGCTACACTAAGCACTGGGGATACAAATTTAAAAAGGAAGACAGTAGGAAGAAAAATAATAAAAATTTTTCCAATGACCTCAGTTTTAGTGTTTCTTGGCATGGAAATGGCTAGAATTTTAAGCTTATCCTAACTGAGATGGGGAGGGGATTTCAATTTAATTATCTAGGATATTAACTATTCTTCTCATATCCCTATCCTCGGCAAATCTGATTAATTCCTTTTCCCTTAAAAAGAAATATTTTAATAAGTTATACGCTTAAATGCGTGTTCAAATATGTGCAAAAATATTACATAAATTTAAGTTTGTGTAGCACCATATAAAGCACTTTACCTCACAACAACCTTGTGAAGTAGGTAGTACAATTATTTCCATTTGGCACATAAGGAAACTGAGCTCCAGAGAACTGAAGTTTATGTTATGTAAGTACTTCAGAACCAAGACTTGAACCTCAATCTTTCCTGACTACAAGTAGAGTGTATTCACCTACCTCTTTTGCTCATGAGTAGCAAATATAATTATTTGAATAACTTTGTCCACAAGAGGACTACTTACAGCACTCAGCCTAAGCAAATACTCTGCTAGTACTTCCTAGTAACTTTTATCACGTTCTGGAAGTTACTGAACTGCCAAGAATGAGTTCCTGGAAAGTCTTTAGTATTCCACATTAAAATTATCTGAGTGCTGAAGGAAACTATAGCCTGTGTGAGTAAAAAAATAAAATAAAACTAATTTATGCTTTCAAATTGCGTCCAATGAACTTCGTGCACAGAGCACTGGGCTTGTAGTCAGGAAGACCTGAATTCAAATCTGTCCTCAGACACTTCCCAGCTGTGTAACCTGGACAAGTCACTTAATCTGTTTGCCTTAATCTACTTGAGAAGGAAATGGTAAACCACTCCAGTATCTTTGCCAAGACAACCCATGGACAGTATTGGTGTGCTATGGTTCACAGTGTCTTGAATTGGATATGACTGAATGACTGAACAGAGTTTTCAAATCATAATCAAGATAAATGTCTATGGTTTCATGGTTCAGAAATATAAATGCTAAAATTTAACTATGATTTGGAAATCACTGCCATCTTTTCACTTTGTTTTATATCACTTAAAGTTCACAGGCAAACTCAATTTTACCAGTGAACAAATTAGTAGATTATATCCATGAACCATTTGTTCATCTGACTAATAGCTACTATCTTAGGAGGCTTTTAACATACCCAGACAGCACTTATAGAGCTTAGGGAAATAAATTATATTTACCTTTAATTTTGAAACAAAATAACTTAAATATATATATATATATATATATCCACTTGATATATACTACAAAGGACCTATAGGAATCTTAAGTTTAAGGAACTTTAGCACTTAGCAGAATCTAACACAACAGATGTTCAATACATGTTTGAGTTAAACCACATCTAAACAGTTGCTTAACATTGACAGGCATTATTATTTCATGAATTTTAGCTAACATCAACTTGTGTCAGGAAGAATTTGGAAGCCATTATACATAAAACGAAATTGTGTATAACAGTGTACAACAAATAAGCTAAGCTTCAATGTAATTCTACCAAAATGATCAATGATCTAAATCTGTTGACAGACATTATTATCATGCCTTGAGTACGGAAGGGAATTATGAATCCAAAGACTAACAAGTTTGACTAATAATGGGATTTGGGATGAAGTGTCCCCTTATCTGTAGTCTACCTTTGCCTTTCCTTTTTATTCCATGAATTTTAGTTGAGCATAAGCCTAGTATCAATTCCTGTCAAGGCCAATCTACTTTACTCTGTGTTTTACTTATTAATACTTGGATTTTTTCAAACCAATTCCCAGAGTGAATATTTAGCCAAATTCTTTGGTAATATGTTATGAAAGGAAAGAAATTCATAATGAATCAGAGCTTTAGGAAAAAATTTTTCTTTACAGAAAGGAGGTTATGACACTAATCCCTCACCTTTACTCCTTCCCCCAATTTTTTTCGGAGGAAAAGGGCATTAGGAATGGGAGTTGAGTGAGGAAATACAAACACAGAATCACAGCTGATTGGGATATTTGCTATTTTACTGTTAATCTGACACATCTAAACCAAAGCATTCACAATACTTGATATACTTTTAAGGGAATCATATACAATAATCTTAGACATAACCACAGAACAAGCAGAACAATTAAAACTACATAAGGCCTTAAAATATAACCACAGTGTGTATTATTTCAATATTCATTCATTTACAAATTAGACTACATACCATTAATTTTATTTGTACTTTTCTTTCATAGTTTTATTCAGGCAAGATTCATCCAAGGAAAAGGCAACTTACAGTTTTGTTTTTCTGCATTTTTTTTTTAAACTACATTAGTTAATACAAAAGTGTTAATGTTCTCTTTTCTTTCTCTTCTACTAAGGAGTAAGTTAGTAATATTCTCAGATGGCAGCCAAAACCAGAGGTTCTATACTTCAAAAACAGCCAAAGGAAACCTGAATGGGGCACAGCAGCAAATCTGCATGTGATACTGAATAAAACAAAACTAAATGAACTTTCAGGTTTCCATACTATTAAGAGTACTGCATTTCTACACAATCATTCAAAGGTTTAAAAAAATCATTCTAGATATTCTAACATCTTCGAAATTTCTAATATGAGAATTTAAACAGTTGCCTCATGGTACTGATCTCGTGACTCAAAGCCAGTTAAAATTCAGTGTTATCCGTGACTTTCCCTTTATAAAGTAACCAGTTGGTAAATTAATACACAAGGGGCAAAAATGAAGCCTAACACTGTCATGAACAAAAATAGAAAATGTAAGATTAGCCATTAGGATACGGATACAAAAATGGAAACAAATAACTTTTAACCATTAACCCTGCACAACAGGGTCTCGGTCAACTCTAAGAACTAGTATGTTCTCATAGTATTTACTACAATTTATTTTAACACGACTATTTGCACTTTTTTAGATGTACATTTTTTGAAAGAATATTACATTAGTGCAACAAGGGTTAATACATTGAGATGTTTTAAAAAATATTTATAAATTCATTTCTGGTATGTGAAAGCATTTGGCAATATTTTTACAGCATTTGATTTTTTACAGAATTAAAATTTCATACAGTACTCATCTTGGTGGTTTTTGTTTCTTTTTTAAAAAAAATTCACATAAAATATATAAATTACACAGCTTGACTGCATGATACTGTTATTTCCAGTTTTACACTGGTAGTTAAAACCTTCATTAATTCTGTTAACAAATCATACCTGTACATTTATGAAGGCAACTAACATGATTTGCAAACAAAACCTTCAGGTTTTATGTTATTTACCAAGGTGTCCAGTTCAGCATCAAAACAAAACACAGTGTGCAAATCTACAAAGTAATTTACAAATTCACTAGTTCGTGTGACACAAACTGTTTCAATCGTTCAAGGTACTGTCCATAAAGTTCCACATCATTGTGACCTGCTCCTTCAACCCAGAGAGGCTCCACAGGTCTTTGGCAGCGTTCAAATAATGCGAGGCCATGTGAAAAGTCAATGACTTCATCTTCAGTTCCATGAATTATTAACACTGGTGAGGTTATTTTAGAGACTTTGTCAATGCTGTGAGGAAAAGGGGAAAAGTAAGCTAGCTATATAAATGAACAATGGACCTTTTGCTATAAAAGAGGTGAGATTATTCAGTCATTAAAAATGTCTCTGAATCAGCTCAGAAGAGAGATTGGTTTTTTCTTGGCTTTCAAATCATGGTATAGCAGGTTGAAAGATCAGAGACTAAAGATAAAGAATTAAAAAACCTGGGTTTGAGTTGTGCCTCTCCCATTTACCAGCTTTGTGACCTAGGGCAAGTCACTTCACATTACTGGTTCTTAAGGGGATAGATAAGAGATTGAATCCCCTTTCAGTTCTAATATGCTGTGGAAAAATCAGATTTTGCATATTATTTAGACTAGTATACTCTATTATAAAGTTCTTCATGAGGCAGAATATAATTGATTGCAATAAAACTACATAAGATCACTTCTGTTACACCAAAAATCTACTAAACCAGATACTTACATTAGGAATTTACGTATCAGAAGCTAATATTTTGTATAAAGAAACAAGCAAGAGGCCAAGGGAAAAATCCTCCTTTCATATACATTGTTCCTCCAAGCTCGATGAGGAAGCTGAGTTTATATCTAACTATTCCTAGAGGATCACTCAATAAATGTTGCTACCATACTAAATTTCTTGTGACAGTGATCAAAGGCAGCCCCCAGAACTTGCACAATAAGGAGTTGAGGAAATGAGGGATTGTTTACTCTAGCAGAGTTACAACAGTCCAATGGTTTCCTCTGCTAGGAATCCAAATCATTAAGTACTATGCATTACAGGGTTGGACAGAGAGTAACAAGTCATGTAACAGGAAAGATATTCTTCCCGTCTTCTATCTTCCGTAGTACCTAGCCTCTTTGGGCAGTTAGTAGGTTACTTGGAAACCGTATCCAGAACTACAGGATAGGAAATAATTAGCAAAGCAGTATTTACTAAGACTCTGAAACAGAAATGACTTGTTAAGTAAGTAGTCCTCTCTGGGTCATCACTGTTGAGGACCTGAACAGATTCAGGATGTAACAGTCTTGTTGCTAGATCATTTCCTATTTATGTTCTTGTAAAAATTTTAAAGTATTCGGCTAAGAAAGCAAGCTTTTTGTTCTAACCGCTGACCATTATATGTCTGTCTTTTGAAAGATCATTATTAAGAACAGAAAAATGGTTTTTCAGAGCCGTAACAAAAAATCCTTTTCTGCTCTGTAACTATTTCAACAAGAATGTTCTCACTGTGACTTCCTCCCGCAAACTATCAAAAAGCATAAGCAGCCAATATTTTCTATTTAAAAACAAATATCTACTTAGAAGTTAATCTCTTCACAAGATTATTCTGATGTGAGTAAGGCTCATACTCTGAATAAGGCTTATTGGTACCGAACTAAGGATAATAAGAATGTTTAAAAATTTTTTAATCAAATCTGTTGTATCATAACAATAATAGCTAATATTTACAATGCCTTAACAGTTTGCAAAGCATTCAAGATACCACCTCACTTGATCCTCACTTCTATTATTAGCCCTCTTACAGGCTAGTAAATTGAAGCTGAGAGAGGGTAAGGGACTTGCTCAGGGTAAGAGGATTCAAACTCAGGTCATCCCAACTTCAAGTCCAGTGTGCTGTCCACTAAACCACACTTCACTATAATGGGTGTACCAATACAAATCAATTATCTTTTCTCCAACTCCCAGTTATACAGAGTTGTCCAGGGCACTGAGAGATTAAATACCTTGCCTAGGGTTACAAAGAGTCAGAACCCACATCTTGACTCCAAGACCAGCTTTCTTTCCCACTATGACATACCACCTCTTCTTAAAAAGAAGCTTTAAAGGTCTCAAATTTTAGAATAGAAATCCATATTCTTGCCCAATAGTTTTTGGCAATTAATAGTCTGTCCATTGTTGAATCAGGGTAAGAGAAAGAAGCTAGCCATACCCTAGATGTGTGAGTAAGCTGGCCTAAGCAGCACAATCACTCCCTCCCTCTACACATTGCCTTGGCTAAAGCACAAATGCTTAGTTCTAACACTGCTCACTTACTACGACAAGTTAACTGGGAGCCTAGTCATACCCTATCAGCTTCCTCCTTTCAAGCCACCAGTCTAGATGGTTATTTTTTAAAAGAACCTTTCTTTGGAATGATTCGGCTCTCATACAGAATCACTGGTTTTTGGCCTGTCATTCACAAAACACTGTGCTACTGCCAATGAAAAAAAGGAAATAGACTGAAATGTGACAATTCTTTCCTCTTAACAAATCTTTGTCATAGAAAGCTACTAATTTTTCTTAAATGTTCTAAGGACCAAGTAAGAAATATCACTTTTCCTTTGAAAGTCTAAAAGAGAGCAGAATAGCTGAAGAGATTAAAACTTGAGTTCCTACAAAGTTCTTTTATTACTGTATCATCAGTAGCCTTTGTGGGATAAGATTAACTTTTCCCCTAATTTACTCACCTTTTACACTAAATGTAGTGAATACCCAAGGTGACAGAATATTTTATATTATTGCTTTATCTTGAAATTTTACCCCCCAAAATATTAAATTGTTTTGAATATTGCCACTTACTTTGGGAATGCATCAAAGCAGTAAGTCTTCTTAGTATCTGGAAAAGCTACCCGCATTCCTGAGGTCAGAGGGGAATGAAGAATGACAGCAGCACTCTCGTAACGGGCAGCAAGATCCACAGATGGTACTGTTCCTATACTCTGGCCATATATAATCACATTTTCAGGGCGGATACCATACCTACAAAGTTCAGAAGTTTTAAAAAAACAGATTTTTACTTTTTTAAAAAAAGAATTTGTACTTATCAATTGGTTGAATATCATAAATGCTAGTTATAGACATCCAGTGTCATTTTTGACTCTTCCTTCTCCCCATATCCAGTCAGTTGCTAAATCCTATCAATTCTACCTAGTTATCTTCAACATCCTTCTCTCTTCTCACCTTGTCACCATTCTTGTTCAATCCCCTACGACCACTCAACTAGACTATTTGTAACAGCATTCTAAATTGGCCCCACAGCTTTGCTTCTATGCTCTCCAACCCCTCCAATTTATCCTCCATGAAGTTGACAAAAACTTCCTAAGTTTTTCCTTCCTAAGGCATAGTAGTGACCAGAATATTCCCCTGGTTAAAAACCTTTAGTATCTTTGCTTCCAATAAAGATATTAAATCCATATCCTAGAATGTAGACCCGCTACAGTTTAGGGCCAGCCTACTTTTCAAGTCTAATCTCAACTCTTTTTCCCTTCCCACAGAATGGACCACAACTCACAGTCATGCCATCTTTCTGCCTATGTTCACTTGCAGAAGTTGCCTCATGTCAGAAAAGCACACTCTAGTACATTTTTCATAATTCTTATCTTCAAGAAGAGTGGACACCTCCTCTATGAAGCCTTTCTTGATTCCTTCAGAATACCCTCCCTTAACCCTAGAGCTCCTTGACCTTGGATTTTTTACTCATTCAGATACATGTATCCCCCTAACAAAAAGCAAGCTGCTTGAAGACAAGGATTGTTTTTCCTTTGAATCTCCGAAAGATGTGCCTAGCCTCCTCCCTGTTATATAAGACACCTAATAAACTCACCCTTCTTACTCTGGTTCATAAAATATTTAGATAGTCATAATTAATTTATCTTAAAATAATTCATACTACTATCCTGCTTGTTTATTTTAAACTAGATCATTGATAGGATTTTAAGGGACTGCATTTACATTTAACCAAACACAAAAACCCTTGATTTTTCTCATTAATTTGTTTCTAAACCTGAAACAAGCATTGTAATATGAAATGAATGAGTTTTTGGCAAACAGTACATGAGTGCTCAATCACTTTTTTCTTTGAGACCTCATAGAATTTGAAGGTCAAAAGAGAGATCCCTTTTCCAATGAGTAAAAAAAAGGCACAGTTAAAAAGGTGACACAATTACTTAAGGAAATATTTTCTAGGTTGCCTAAATCTACTTATAAAGATGTTCATGTTTAAATAATCTTTTAAAAAGATAAGAGAGAAAATGAAAAGCAAATGTTCATTTTATAAGATAAAGGAAATTTATGGCCAGAAAGAATCTTATAAATCCATCTAGTCTAACCTTTTTCATTTTCTAAATGAGAGAAGTCAGACTCGGAGAAGTAAAGTGATTTGCTGAAGACTACAACTCAGTTTTCAACTTTATAGTCAAATCAAGAACACTTTTCACTATACCAAACTGCTTTTATGGCAATATGTTGAAAGACAGGGGGAATGAGATGAAATTATTCAATAAAAGAATGCTTTAAGGTACTCCACTGATTTATTTACAGTCACTGATAATGGAACATGGTAAAAAAAATATTAAGAAACAATTGTAAATCACCTTTTTTTTGCCCTTGTATAATCTGAGGTGTGGGTGAAATGAGGAAATATTAAGAAAGTTGTTCGCAAAAAGGAAAAGGTATTTTTTGCTAGTTATGAAATATTGAATTCTACCCCTAAAGCGTCCTCTAAAATAAGTAACTGTTTCACCAGAAATAACAGTTTTAATATGGTATATATGAAGGGCTACTTTAGTATTAAGAGGTGCTATATGGTGCTATAGTCAACAAGGTGCTTTTATAAATTGGGAGATGACTTTTTTGAGCTCTTGAGCTGGTAAATAAAACTTAAAATTTAAAGAAGAGTAAACAATAAGGCACAGGATTGTAACTATGTTATGGTTCAACTACTAATTCTCCAAATACCATGGGGCCTTGAGTATATATATATGCAGAAGAAGAAAGGAAAGTCAATTAATATCTAACTATGGGGTTCCCAGGCATGAAAGTTTCTTCAGGTTTGGTTTCAATGGAAACGATAGCACAAATCCATTTACTGGACCAAATGAACTCTTATGGTCTCATCTCAACTCTATTCCTTTCAGATTCTAATCAGCCAAAAAAAAAAAAAAAAAAAATTAGCATAAAAATAATTGAGTTGCCTGAAAATTCAATGGCAGAATCAGAATTTGTATCTTAGTTTCAATGTGCTTAATTAATGGAACCATGCTGCTACTTTTATATAAAATTAACTCCTATGAAGTAAAAATTTAAATACTATTGTAGAAAGAACAGTGGTATAGAAAAAAAAAATACCAAACTGGTCTGGGAGTTGGGACACCTGGGCTTTTACTTCCACCTCTGCCATTATCTAGCAAACATACAGCAAGTCCCTTAACCTATATAGGTCTGTTCCCTCACAGACAGAGACTGGAGAAGATGACCTGTAAGGTCCCTATGTAGCCATAAAATTCTGTGATTTTGTAATTCTAAGGGCTGAAAACAAATACAAAGCACTAATAACCAATCTTTCACATTAGGGAATAAATTAATTTGATACAAGGTAAAGAGAACAGAAAAAGGAAAGAACAGAAATAGGTCAATGAAATTTAAAACTTAATGCTTAAAACTCAAAGTATCAATTTGAAATTTTAACATTTAACTCCTCCCCCATACACAGAAAAGCAATACACCACAGTGACTGGAGAGCTGGCCTCTAAAACAATAAGATGTGTTTCAAGTCACACCTCTGACATATTTCCTGGATGTGTGACCCTGGGCAAGTAAGTCACTTAATCTCTCAGTGCTCTAGGCAACTCTCTAAGACTCTTAAGTTGCAGAGATGATACCAACCTGCCTTAGTAAAAGGAGATTCCTCACCTGGGAGTTCCCTATACCAATAGAATCACAGGTTCAGTTTCCATTTCTAATACACACGGTATATGTCACATCATAGCCTTACTTAATAATTAGGGAAGCAATGTAGCCTGATAAAATATATTTGATAAACACTGCCACAATTTGGGACATATAGGAGGTTCTTAGTACCTAGATAATGCAATTTCTTTAATCACTGAGTATTCTCATAAAAACAGAGATTTGCCTTTTATTTTAGTTTCCTATCTAAACAAGGAAAATCTAATTGCTAGGGAAAATGTGTATTCATCTTTATTAATTTATAATGTTAGGCACAACTTTTAAATCACATTTTCTTTTGAATGCGAATAGTGTAACTAACAGATGTGTCTGCTGAGGGGGAGGAGCAGAGGGAAGAAATCACTAGGAACTTTGTAAATTCCTATTTTTTGTTGTTATTTTGAGACTGCTCATTTTATCTTGACCAAACTGAAACTGCAGTAGCCATACATGGGACTGATCCTCATGTAAGTACTGATCAAATCTCAGTTTCTTTCAACACGAACCAGTTTGCCTCTCCTTAGGCAGCTTAGTGGTTCTACACACCTGGAGGCCCACTATATTGGTTCTAGTCTTAGTGCAGACTCCTGCCTGGCCAGTCCTACTGGATCTCTGAACTTCCAAACTCAAGTAATCCACCAATCTCAGCCCCCTCCAGTAGCAGGGACAACAGGCATGTGCCACCATCCTTGGTTTCTTATGTTTTTGGATGGCAATTTAAAAACTAAACAAATATTTACTTAAACTGGTCTATCATGTTCATGGTATTTAAAAGTTGAGTACACAAATATTCACATTTACCTTGTTCTAAGAGCCAACCAAGCTGCATCAACGTCTGCATAAAGGTTCTTCTCTGTTGGTTTCCCAGAACTTGCTCCGTATCCAGAATAATCATATGAAAATATATTGCAATTAATCCGTGAACCCAGTCCTATGTAAAAACTGCTCATCTGACCAAGGTCAACAGCATTTCCATGTGAAAAGAGTAAAGTATATTTGGCATTGGGCGAGCAACGCACAAACATACAGGCAATCCTGTTACCTTTACTGGTTCTAGTCATAAAACACTCAATAGCATCTTTTTCTCTAGAAGAGTACTGCCAGTCTGCTCTTTCTGAAAGATGTAGGGTCCAGCGACTTCCACTTTCATCACACATCAGAGTATAAGTAGGGTCAGGTGGTAAAAATGCTAATTTAGAAGCAATTTTCCCTGGGCAGGGTGGACAGCAGAAGAGGCAACATAGTTCACCAAATGAAAGATTATTCATCTTCTATTCTGTAAAAGAAAAGGCAATTATAATTGACTTTTCAATCACTAAATATGAGATTTGTACATTATTACATTGCAATATAAAGACAAAAGTGAAATAAGTCGTGGCAGGTTTTATGGTTTTAAGGATCCAGGCAAGTGTGATTTTTGAGAAATAGAAATTCTGTAAAGCAATAGTCGGGCAAGTTGCCTTGGCAGGGTCATATTCAACTGATGAAAAAAAGTCACTGCTCTTTGAAATTTCAAACTGAAATGAATAATGTCTACTTCACAAAGGTGGGAAATAAAGTACAATAGTCACATGGATAACAACTGATACATGGAGCTTTAAGGTTTATAAAGTGTTTCACTGTCTACCATCAAATATGAGCCTCACAACATTCTGTGAGGCAGAACTAAAGATTATCACTCTCATTTTTTAGATGAAGAGAACCTGAAGCTCAGAGAAGTTAAGGGACTAGCTCATGGTGAGAGTTTTAATATGTGTCTCCAACTCCTTATCCATTAAGCCACATTTACATTTTGGACATAATAGAAAGTCTTTAATGTATTTTATAGCTTTTAATGTTTGTAAAATATTCAGAATTCTATGGGGGAAAGATATGATCAAAAAGATAGAATGCACAATCTTAATCACTTAGAATTTGTTCATCTCAGATGGGATAGACCTCTTACATACTTCTGGACAAAGATTCCTTTGTGTCAAATGTATGGCAAAATTTACTGGAAGTAGGAGTTACTCTAAGGAAGACAGGACACAAAAATGTATTATTGGATGAAGAAGACATATCTACTAAGAAATAAGGAGAAATTTTAAAATAGCTGAAACATGACAATATTTTAATTTTCATGTAAAGTATCAACTTCCTGAGGAGCAGAAATAAAAATTTTTCCTTGGTCTCTCTTTTTCATCCTTCCTTTATCCTCCTGTACTAGGTGCAAAATAGAAGCATCAAAAAATAAACCAACTACAAAAACCCCACGTAAGCTGTGGCTCCTACTTCTAGATATAGCCCACCTTTAAGGAGTGTGCCTTAAAGATGCTATTTGTATTGAAACCAATAAAACCACTTTTGTGGAATGACTGAAACGAATAACCCGTATTGTAGATTAGAAATGCTAGATCCCTAATACTGAATGAGATTTACTTGTTCCCAATGGAACTAGCTGGTCACACAATGTGCACTTTTCTTAAATCTAAATGTCTTTGAATTATACAGTGAAAAGGTGCTAGTAATATAGTTATACACGATTACATGAAAGTCTTGAATTAGCAAATACATTCCTGGGGTATGCAGAATAAAGGGAGAAACTAGGTCAAGGAATATTCTAGGCAAGACAACAGGGAAATCTCCATCGATCACAACCTTGGTATAAATTGTTCTGGTTCTGCTTGTAATTCACTCCATATCGGGCCATATTAAGTCCTCCCAAGTTTCTCTAAATCTTTCCCTTCTTCCTTCCCCATGCCTATTTGGTGTGAGAAGACTTTCCTAAATCAATCGAAAGAATCATACACAGGGTAAACACTCTTCTAAGCCTCAATTTTCTAGCTATCAGAAGTAAGAAGAGTGGTTAGGAGGAAAGAGATGGACAAAAGAATAGACTCTTAAGCCTGCATATTTATCTCCTGAGTTGGTCAGGGCAGAGCTGACAGCTGCAAAAGCTCCTATAGACCTTTCTAGATGTCATGCTGGCTTGATGGGTGCCCCATTTCCTTCTTTCTCCCTGTAGTCTCCAAAACTTGTTTTAAGTACTCCCTTTTTCTACTGTCACCCACCCTTTCTTCTACTTTTCCATTTAGTCTGGACTCTTGAATAAGCAAAGAATCATTGGGTTTTCTAAGGATTTTGAGATCAGAGGGAGAGAGACATTTAGGGAGCGAAAAAACAAAACAAAACCAGAAAGGGACAGTTACAATAAATCTTAAGTCCACAGCAAAAATTATCTTCTTTACCAACTTCTTTTGTTCCTTAACTCAGAAATTACCAATATAAGCAAAGAAAAACTTGACAGAGTAAATATTTTTTAAATAAGTCCACTTACAGACTGGTTAGATTTGCAGATTATAGTGCACCTCCAAAATTGTTTTGCTTCAGCTCACTGCTGGGGATATTAAACTAAGCTTTTCACACTTCTAATTTGAGACAGGGTTGGTGTGTTATTGCTGCTAGGTGTGGTGGGGACCTGCTTTTTTGAAGTCTTCTCTTTGACTCTTAACGCTCAGGTCTGATCCTGAACCATATTTAATCTCCATCACCACCCCAACATATTGTTTATGTCCAACTTTTTGTGACCCTGTGGACCCTACTGTCCATTGGGTTTTCTTGGCAAGGATACTGGAGTGGTCTGCCATTTCCTTCTCCAGTGGATTAAGGCAAACCCTGGTTAAGTGACACGGCCAGGGTCACACAGGACTAAGCATCTGAGGTTGGATTTGAACTTAGGTCTTCCTGACTCAAGGCCCAGCAGTCTCTATCCACTGAGCTATACAGCGGCCCCACCACTCTAATGCTTTGGTAAACTCATGTTTAACGAAGGCTCTTTCCTTCCTATTCCATAGATTCCTCTTCTAGGTTCAGGCCAACTTATACTAACTTTATAGCTGCCTACTTTACCTTTCTTGGAGGGCATAAATCAAGGATATGTGGGTTAAAAGCTTATATTCATAAGCTAAATTACAAGGGTTAGGAGGAATTTTAGAACTAGTTTTGTTCACTCTATCATTTTGCAGATGAGTAAACTCTGGACCAGATTGGCTGAGTGATTTATTCAAGATGGCATGGACCTAGGCTTCTTGCTGACAGGCCACAGCTCTTCCCACTACATCTACTGCTGAAATGGGCTAGTAGCTATCTATACTCATGGCAAACTCAAACTCTTAGCAAAATGAGAAAAAAAAAAGGGCTCAAGAACACCTGCTGAAGTCAAGAATGGAATATGGATGAGAATCTAGAAACTGGGAAGATAAGGGAGGGGAAGGACAGGCTTAGAGAAAATGTGGCCAAAGACAAACATTAAGACAAAATTTTTTCTAGATATGGTCTTAGGCTCAAAATTATCTTCAGCATGTTAGCATACCAGAGGTGGCAACCCTAACATGTAACAAGACTAATTAATAAGCAAGTTGACCTAGCTGGTTTAAGAACCTGTAATTTATATCTCTGTAACAGTTTATACCTCGAGGTCTCCACACATAGTAAAGTAGTACTCTAATTGGTTGGTTGAATACCACCGATGGAGACAAGATGAGAGGAAAAATATTAAAAGGGAGGAGTACTACAGGAAAAGTGAAAGTGGAGAAAGACAACTTTAATCAAATGATGATATCCCTGACTCCTCTGGGCAGTAGGGAAAAAAAAAAAATCACCGGCAAAAGCACTCATAGAAGTTTTCTGTTTGAATTACTCTGGATCCATTTTATCACAGGTTCTTTAAAAATCTCTACTAATCCTGTAGCAAAGTTTAGTCAGTAATTTAAGCAGAGTATAGAAAGGTCAGGCTGTGCGCAAACAAGGAGCTGAAGTAGGCCCTAGGGTACTGCAGTTCTGTTTTTAAGTCCCAATGTCTCTAAGGTTAGAGCTACTTATTTTGGCTACAGGAACATCCAAATAGTAAACTATTTATCCAGGAATTATTTTTGGTTGCTCATGGTGAGTAGCTATTTCCACTTCTAAATTAGATAACACCTACAAAATATGAAAAATATGACACTTGCTACTAGATATTGCATAAACAGCTTTGTAAGACTAAGCACTTGCAGTGATTTAACAGGATATGAATGAGAAGACATTTTGGTTTTGATAAAAACTTTACAATTACTTCTAGTGGTTTTTGATTAAAAAAAAAACACCAAAAGTAAATAAATTCTGCTTAAGTGTGTAAACTTAAATAATTTATTATTATTTTTTAATAAGTCTCTTGTCATAGGGAACAGGTATCGAAGGCAAGAAGATTGAGTTTAAGTACTACTTCCCACATATTGGCTGGGTGAATCTGAGCAAATCAAGACAACTCTCTGAACCTAAAAGTTGCAGAGAAGATACACTGGTAGAGGGAATTCTTCATCGGAAGCTCCCTACACCAATGAATTCAGAAGTTTAATGCCTAACTTTTTTTTCAAGCGAAGCAGTTTGCCATAACGTGACAGAACTTGTTCTATAAGACCTACATTCAAATGCCCTGACAATGTCCCACAGCCAATTCAGGATATTTAAAATAGAACAGATTTTCCCCTGCCACATCCGCCAGTTGACCAAATTTTCCTATGACTTTCAAAGGCACCAGCATCCAGGCTCCCAGGTTTGTAACTTGACATTAACTTTGTCTTCTCATTCTCTTTCACCTCACATAGTTAATCAGTTGCCAAAACTTGCTATTTTACTTTGTTCCAAGAAATTTCCTAAAAGAAGTGGTAATTATTGAAATGTTTGCCCTTGCTCTGTCCTGTTCACTGACAAAACAGAAAGACATTTTTTTCAAACAAAACAGGTAAGTCAATGTTAAAAAATCCTCCTTAAATACTGTAGAAATATCTACTATATTTCTTCCTCCTCTCTTCAGTAATTTGCAGATCAATTCTAATTTTTAAAAGCAATTTATTCAAGAATCTTCCTTCATCGGAACTAGTTATTTCTAGAATTTATTTAATCATTCAAAGTCATACCCTATTACTATCATCTACAAAGGATAACGCAAATTCTGTTCTGACACTGTAATTTTGCTACAGTGAAAATTATCAGAGTTTAGAAAATATAAACTTTTCCCTTCAAGGCAGTAAGATCAAGTATCTCAAAGAGGAGAAACTGGAGAAGGATCAAGCTTATAAAGTATTCCCAGCACCATGATGCATGTATTTTTTTTTTCTTTACCAAGCCCAAACACCTTACCATGCCACTGCTCCTGATAAGAAAAGGACAATGCTTGTAGATGGCAAGCAAACAAGTACTCTCAGATTAAAGTCACATACAGACAGGTTCATTCTTTATGTGTCTAGTGATTGACTC